CTTCGCCTCTGCCATGTTAAACCCACTATTTAACAGTGGTCTGAATCAGAGCTCTGCGAGATCTGCCATGTAAAGTTTAAAGGACAGCAGAAGATCCATTCATTGATCTCCTGTCTCCACATCTAATTTGGCCCTAAGTGTAATTTTGAGCAGCATGCAGTGATCAATAATGATGCACACAACTAGCAATGAATGTGTTACATAACTGTGGGGCCAACCCACAGTGCAACTCTAAGGACACTTTCCTGGGAGTAAGCACCGCTGATAGATCTGATTAGGATTCTAAGTAAACCTGTTTAGGATTACTGTAAGAGAGCTTCCATGTGAAACAAATTCATGGAGGCAGTGCTGTGGTCGGCACATTTGACACTGGGGAACAGGGCTAACATGCTCACTTTTGTTCTTCTGCCCTTGAGTGCTGATCCTGTACTTACATGTATCATTTGAACAGAGCTGTGATGTATTGAGATTTGGCTGGGCGGTGGCATTCCCTGTTTCGCTTGTGAATGGCAACACCTTGCATATCCCAGGATTCATAAGAACATAAGAACATAAGAGATGCCAATGTTGGATCAGGCCAAAGGCCCATCCAGTCCAACACTCTGTATCCCACAGTGGCCAGAAATACCAGTGCCATCAGGAGGTCCACCAGTGGGGCCAGGACATTAGAAGCCCTCCCACTGTTGACCCCCCCAAGCACCAAGATGACAGAGCATCACTTGCCCCAGAGTCCCTATCTATACCTTGTGGCTAATAGCCACTGATGGACCTCTGCTCCATATGCTTATCTAATTCCCTTTTGAAGCCGTCCATGCTTGTAGCTGCCACCACTTCTTGTGGCAGTGAATTCCAAGTGTTAATCACTCATTGGGTGAAGAAGTACTTCCTTTTGTCCGTTCTAACCCGACCGCTCAGCAATTTCATGGAGTGCCCACGAGTTCTTGTATTGTGAGAAAGGGTGCTCACCAAGAGAACTATCTGGAACATGTTATACATGGTACTTCGTAACAAAAATGTTCTGATTTAAGCAATTTTAAATCACTGATTTTAAAGTTACTGTACTGTACTATAACTTTATTTATTTATTTCTTTATATTTAAATTTGTATCCCGCCCTACCCCGACGGCTCAGGGCGGCTAACAAGGGCCCCATGTGCCAAGTTAAAACAGTAAACATATAATTTAAGAACAATAAATTACCATAAAATACAATTTACAACAGATTTAAGCAAGAAGGGGAGATCTTATAATGATGCAGAGTTGGGCAATGGCAAATCATCCTTGAATGTCTCTTGCCTTGAAAACCCTACAGGGTTACCATGAGTTGGCTATGACTTGCTAGCATTTTCCATCACCACAGGGCAAGTGCTCTTTAATGCCCAGAACCATTTGGGATGGACCCACAGCTCAGTTGGTTCTCATATCACTGCTATAACATACAAAATACTAAAAATCTCAGTAGCACCTTTAAGACTAACAAACTGTATTGTAGCATAATTATTCCTGGAGCACAAGGGTTTTCAGAAAGCCACACACTCTTTTCCAATCTCACTTCAGTGCCAGTTCCTGTCCTCAAATTCACAGAGAAACCCAAACACTCTCATTTTTGGTAGAATGACACTCCCCCCCTCCTCCACCTGGCTGTTGTGCATCCTATACGAAGTGGGGTGATTTGGCAAATGCAAGCCAATGCCAGTGGTTTGCATGCACCAAGTCACACAGCAGAACCAGAGCTTCCAATTCCAGCACTGGAGCTAGGGATGCCAGGATCCCCTGAATTACAGCTCATTTCCAGTCTAAAGAAATCAGTTTCCCTGGGGGGCAAAATGCTGTTCTGGAGGGTGGACTCTATGGCATTGTGCCCCACTGAGATCCCTGTCCTCCCCAGACTCCATTTCCAGATCTCCATGAGTTTCCTAACCTGGACTGGGCCACCCCTCCCCTCATCCCCCAGAGGTGGCCAGGAAGAACCTGGCAACCCTAACTAGGGTTATTTTAACAAGGGAGGGAGGGGAGTGCCATTTCACAAGGGTTTAAAGAAAACTAGACAGCTCCTGTATTTTGAGTAGAGTTCCTGAGCTGAGAAAAAGCCTAAGTTAAAAATCTCAAACATAGGGTGGGGACAGTCAAGTCTTTTATGACAGTCACAGAATTCATAAACAGTATGTAAAGGCCTGATATAGATTGTATGATATTTCATTCTAATTATTTGTAAATGCTTCAGTTTTGTTCTGTCTCTACATTAGTATCTAAATTTCATATTATCATAGTTATATTTTGATATCCAGTTTTTGATATATCTGGACTGTTTTCTGCTGGTTATGAACTGTAATAAAGCGATGATGATGATGATGACAATAGCACAGACCAGGGGCTTTTTGTCCCTCCCTACCTGTACATTTGACAGACAAAAGACTAGCCATTTGGTCAGCAGAAGATGCCTGAGGCAAGGGCAGACACTTGCCCATTCTAGTCCTTTTTGGACTGAGCTGACAGGATAGACGGGGGTGGGGGGGTTCCTAGCATGGAGGATGCTTGGCAGTGCAGCCAGCCTGGAAAGTTCTCTTTGACCTGAGTTTTCGCAGCCACGATTTGGTTCTTCTAGCCTCCCAGCAAAAGTCACTGTTTAAGCCAAGCCTGGCTTCATGGGGCATTGCTTGTGGAGGTTCAGAGGTCATTTTGGGGTGTCTCTCTCCGGAAAGACTACCTGGGGTTCAGGGCTGAGGATGCTGGCAACAAGTAGGTATGGGAGGACATCTGGCGCACGAGGTGCCCTACTACCCAGGTTGCCTTTTGGGGTTCTGCACCCTCTGGTGCCCTTGGGCAGGGATGATCCATCAGTCACAGGATGAGTGGTGGCCCATTGTCTTACCCCTGTTTGTAGGGGCTCAGCACCCCCCGCCCCACATGCCACTCCCCCCACCCATTCACATGCCCGGCCCTATGCTGCACCCAGGACAACTGGTGAAAGTCTCTATCTGAAGGGAAGGCTTCTTCCCACCCCCGTCTGTGCCCCTCAGCTCAACACCCACACAGCCTGGCTGCAGGCACGTGGGCAAGGGCATCTGGGGGAAGAAGTTGTGACGCCTCTGTGGTC